CCCCCCTCCATGGAATTTTAACCAATAATGAATATGTATGGTACACTTTTTTGGGGACATTTACTACAATGTGGCTTAATGGTGTGTGTCCATGTAGAATAGAATATTCCAAAAACGATATTTACTGGAGACCATTGGACTATAGTGATATATATGTAGTAACCACTGAAGAATGATCCATAAGTAACATTCCCAATCCCAGTTTCACGACGGTTCCTTAACTTACCGGAAATTCCTAAACTAAACTTTTCCTTGGGAAAGCATTGCAACGGTTGCAATGGAACTTTCTTTAATATTTGTCCTTAACTTCATCAATATGAATTCCTCTTCATCAAAAAAAAATGTATCAGGCTATGTATGTGTCAGTAAATAGGGGGTAGACTTACCTGTTGTATAGATATTACGTGGAACACATGTGATTCAATAATGTCTTGTTATGATGTTAGTTCCCTGTCACTCCTGTGTTCCATGTGGAACTGGATTCGTTGTCCACATCAACACACACTTTTCACAGTTGAATATAAATAGCCTACCTGATAGACATTTATATGTAGATATTCGATTCCTTTAGCTGGTGGTTAGTGTTTCATCCATTCGTAGGGACCATGTCGATATCCTGTATGCCTGTATTTGCCGACAAATAACAAACTTACAAAGTTATTACCTACCCGGAAGTTCTACGAAACACTCGATGTTGACCAATGGGATTGCAGAATTTTTCAGAAACGGGGAATCCCCTTCATGTGTGTTGTTTACAAAGCGGTCTGGTGATTTCGCTCCAAAACAAGTTATTGTCCCATTTTTTTACGCTCATTTGAGATACGTATCACCAAAGTCTTTTTGTTGTCTTAAATAAAACTATTTCGTGCAAAAATCACCCCAAACCGATTCAACCCATCGTGTTGTTGGCCGAAGGGAAGTAACTCCTGTACTTTATTGTAACGTTTTGGCTATCACTGCAATGCCAGTCTAGGGGAAGTAACTCGTAATATTTTCTTCCTTTAGATTACATTTATACATTACTAACTGTAAAATTTTACATTTTAACTTATGTATTGTCATATTTTTTTCTATTTAAAACGTTTCTCATCCGAATATTTCATCATTGATAAATTGCCATTCGCTTTAAAAAAAAATCAAGGTTCTACGATTATGTTAAATGCGTTTTTCTGCATTTTCATCACACAATTTGTACTTTTGTCCGAATTTTTTTCAGTAGACCATTACTTAGCATAGTGACGGCAAAGTGGTTGAGACAAATTAAAAATGTGTCAAAAAATTATAGGAACAGCTTCATTTCAAATTGAAATGTTACTTAATAGAAGTAACTATAAGAAAGTATATATTCGACCAATTATCGGTGCCAATAGTTGGATCATGAGCTTACAGCTAACAGCTAACTTATTTTGCATACAAAACTTAGACATTAGTGTAGTCCACTTAGATATGATCTATATAGAGTAAATCTTGTTGATAGTCCAGTTTGTTATTATTGTGGCCATCCCTGTGAAAATGCCTTTCACTTTTTTTGTGAGTGCTCACTTTTTAATGGCAACGAAAGACGCATCCTGCTCCAAAATTTGAATGCATTGCATGGTTATACTCAATTTTCGGTTGAAATCAAAACATTTTTTTAGACATGTGCATAATTACCTCAAATCCAGCAATAGGTTTTGATAACTATAATTGTTTTTCCTTATTTTTGTTTATGTGTGTACGTTGTTATATATGTGTTTATGCAATTTCATTTCATTATTTTGCCTGATTTCTTTGTTACAGTAACATTGATTTTGTCCATTATGAAAAGCGTCATGTCATGATTTTTTTTATAATTTATTCAAATGCGGGTCCCTTTCACACCATACAGGTAAAAAGTCTGTATCATATTGGTTCGCCACCCCAGCATCAATTAAACGGTGTCGTCTCACCTAGCATACATTTGGTATTTTCCTATATACAGGTAAGGTGTTGGATGTATGCTAGGTGAGATTTGGTGTCAGGTAGAGAACAATAGGATTTAATTACAGGTAAACTATAGTCCGTACTATAAAGTATCTTACCATGTTCATTCATTCTTTATTACCTTAAACCTTGCGGTTTATCAATACAGTGCATATATACAGTGCAAACTATACAGTATATATATATATATATATATATATATATATATATATATAAATAAGAGTACATAGAATACAATGTGAATATGAACGTATACATAGGATTGATTTTTGGTGTAAAAATTTATTTATTTATAAAATTGTTTCCACTTCATGTATAATAGTCTTCATCATTATAATAGGGAATATCAGATCAAATGTCCTAACTTTACATATTATCACTTAAGCATTGAACTGTTTTTGTATGGTATTTATGATCTATTTGAATGAGTTGTTTGCTTGCAAAGCTATGTCATTCAAATCGATCATAAATACCATACCAAAACAGTTCAATACTTATATTTACGTTTTCTCTTCCTTTTATGTTCTTTTTTAACTTATAATTTATATTTAAAATTAAAAGTGCCCGCCTTATCGACAGTCCACACAATTTCGTTCAATAATTTGAACAGCGTGCTGATTGGCAAACAAAGTCGTACTTTGAAATTTTAACAAACACTTCAAAATTTTATTCCACAATTCAGTATCAATACAAATGCATATGATATGTATATAAGGTGATTTAAGTTTATCAATAGAAATCTGAGCCGAAAGTTAAACTATAAATTGTTCCGATTTTCCCCCGGAACAAATTTCGCGCATGGATAAATACAGTGAACACCGTGAATCCGACCTTGACCTCAACGAGGGAGTTATTTTTGGAAGTTAATTCGAAGGTTTCTCTTTGGTCTCCAGACGTGAATTTATTTGTTGATTGTATGGGAATCTGACTACAGTCGGTAGATTCTATAACAGCCTCGTTATTTGACGTGTCGTGATCAGAAACTGGGGAAACCGTGGCTGCGAGACGCGTGAAACTCTTAGTTGATTATATCAGAGACGTATTATACGTCTCTGATTATATACATCATCCCTATACATTCTCTATACATCGTGTTTGTACATCATGTACCACATATAAGGGCCAATAGTCCAAGCTTTGGATAAATGTTGACAATATTGACATTTGCGATATTATGATAAGTGAAGATCATAATTATTTTTCCTATCTAGTGTCAGGGATGTGTCCCTGACAATGTGTATCCACACAAAATCAGCTTGAGATTGAAATTTTGCAGACATAACTATAAAATAAAGGAAATATAAAAACAACATTCAGTCAACTGTTATTGTATCAGTTGATTTATATACAATGCATTACAGAATTTTAAACAATCTTTGCTATTACGATTAGTTAATGAATCTTTACTTGATCAACAATAATTTAAGATTTTAATAGCATGCAGGCGGCTAGTACCGTACTACCTGTTATAATATCTGTAAAATCATAAGTTATTTTCAGGTTAAATAAATATATCCATTTTATTTGTTTTAATATTCATATTTCATCACATGTCATTATAATTCTTTACAAAGAAAATGGAATATTTCTCTGATTAAAGTAGATATAAGTAATATGTATTACAATACCATCTACATCATTTTGAAACAGACTTTAACCAAATTGTGATCAGGTGTGAAAATTGAAATGTATGCTAGGTGAGATTAGGTATTTTAGAAATGTATGCTAGGTGAGATTAGGTATTTTAGAAATGTATGCTAGGTGAGATTAGGTATTTTAGAAATGTATGCTAGGTGAGATTAGGTATTTTAGAAATGTATGCTAGGTGAGATTAGGTATTTTAGAAATGTATGCTAGGTGAGATTAGGTATTTTAGAAATGTATGCTAGGTGAGATTAGGTATTTTAGAAATGTATGCTAGGTGAGATTAGGTATTTTAGAAATGTATGCTAGGTGAGATTAGGTATTTTAGAAATGTATGCTAGGTGAGATTAGGTATTTTAGAAATGTATGCTAGGTGAGATTAGGTATTTTAGAAATGTATGCTAGGTGAGATTAGGTATTTTAGAAATGTATGCTAGGTGAGATTAGGTATTTTAGAAATGTATGTTAGGTGAGATTAGGTATTTTAGAAATGTATGTTAGGTGAGATTAGGTATTTTAGAAATGTATTCTAGGTGAGATTAGGTATTTTAGAAATGAATTCTAGGTGAGACTAAACCATTTAAATGATTCGACGACAGACCGATATGAAAAAAGTCGATAAAACGTCAGAATAATTCGGACTACAGGAGAACGGACTCTCTCTATTACTATATTAATATATTTGCATATTTTAACTAGTAAAACGTTGTTATTTGTGGAAAAATGTTGGGGTGGGAGGGTGTGTAGCTTGGACTGTGTAATACCACGGAATTAGATTATCTAAGTCCGTGGTAATACTCAACTATAGAATCACCAGTCAAGAACTAAACACTAATGAATATTCAATTCACACGATAGAGGCAGCATGTGTATCTATATGCGCACTGAAACAATTAGGTCAACGCAGGGGTGTCACTTGCGCTGGTGACACCCCCTTGGATCCGCCTCTGGCTAATCGTCAAGCTGAAGTTAGATGCAGGTTGTATTATAACGGGAATGCTAATATGTGCAAAATCTGATATATATTATATGCGGAAATTCGCACCGGTTCGCTACAGCTAGTTAAAACAAATTCTGTCTCAGCTCTGTATAATACCATCAATAAGATCCTCGTCACAAAAATCTAGATTTAACTATTTACACGTAGCATGCAACAACACAGAAGCTTAATTGTTTCCCCCTACCACGGAATTAGATTAGTCCGTTATTTAAGTCCTTGCCCCTACAACAGCTGAATAATTTTTAACTCACAAACTTTGAACTCATTGAAAACAAATAAACATTTTATATAACTTAAATCAATGTAGAAAATAGGCCTTATAAAGGCTTTTTAATTTTAGTTGTAGTCCGCGTAAGTATTGCTACTTAACAAACGGTACTATTATTTAAAATAACGTAATAACGAAATAACGGCAAGTGTCTGTAAAGGAAACGTTTTTTTTTTTTAAATTGTCGATTCCATCCAATGACACTAGAAATGATTGGCGGCCTGACACGGGGTCGTTTACATGGACAGTCAACTTGATGTACGTTATATGTATCAGATTAATATGTTTTATCACGGACTTGGATTCTAATTCCGTGGTTTTATATAACCTTTACGGCAAGTTTATTGCAACGTCGAATACAACTCCGCACACAACACTAGTCTCAATTTTGAGTACTACTCACTGGATAGAAATATTCATCCTGCCCTCTCGCATAAAATTTAACATTAATCAGAGACGTATAATACATGTATTATACGTCTCTGCATTAATTAACCAAGAAACGGAGAATATTCACTGTAATGCATTTTCACTTTATAAAATATGTATCTGTACGACAGTGCAGACAATTTTTTGTCAAATGTTCAGGGCGATATCCGCCCCATTATCTTATATCAGTTTTACACTATGATTTTGTTTTCTTTGTAAATAATTCCACAGGAGCCTACAATTCTGTCAAAATTTAACAATGACAGTAACACAAAAATATACCTATAATATGCATATTATAGTATTTTTTCTATTACTGTTCTTGTTAATTTTAATTCATAAAGCCATACCTATGAGAAGATATGTCATTAATATCATTTCATGATGTGCGGGATCGACATTACTCCGTGTACAACTTGTAAGTTAAGTTGGCTAGGGACCGTAACATAAATCATCCGCTGTGATCTTGAAATAATCGAATGCGCCCCACTCTTGTTGATCGGAAGTCTTCTAGGACTTTCATAATTATACACTGGGTCATTCGGAAGGATGCTCTGGCTCCATTTTTTCCGCGAATTCTCACTGCGCAAACGTTAGAGATGCTGAAAATGTAACTTCCGGGAAGATGAAGATGGTTGTTGATTTTTTTTGGAAGGGAGCAAAATGATATGTAAGGGATTTTTGAAGACGTGAATCTATCTCTCACCCTCAAAATGGGTAAATTGAAGTGTTTTGAGATAATCATGTCGGAAAACAAAACAGTTTTCCATCCCGGTGAAAAGGTAGTCGGGAAGGTTGTGGTCGAGTTGAAAGGCGATATGAAGATGAGATCTTTGCGAATTTTTATGAGAGGTGTCGCCAAGGTGCATTGGACTGAAAGTCGAAGTACAGGCAGTCGACTGGGCTCCTACACAGAGCATTACAATGCAGAGGTCGAGTACTTCTTCAAAAGACAGGTGCTTTTCGGTGGAGGTGGGTATCAACAGTAAAGAACCAACTGCAATCTGATATGCATAGCAGCTGAGTTTGTATCTAATTGAGTAACACTTACATTTTATATATAGTTGCAGATATGTTTAATAAAATTTATTGTTGAGACACCTTTCGTAATTAAGTATAACATAAAAAAAACCTGAAAAAATGCTTTTGAGATTTATGGAATTTGGATGATTTTTAAGTTTTCGTTTAAAAGTTAGATATTTACAGTTCTTTACTGCAGTAACTGTATAACTTATAAAAGGAGTCATTATGTTTACAAACAAAATGTCCAGATGTGGTCAGGTCGGGGAAAACCACTAACTTGCGTATAATACGCAAACTCGCCTATTATAAGCCACTAGGGGTATGGATTTGTTACTAAAAATAGCCAAAATCACTTTAATCTTAACTTTTTCAAATTGTTTGTCCAAGTCCCATTTATTCAGTCATGAAACTTAATATAAATGCAAAAATAAACTTTATTTGCATGTGGGAAAGTACCAAAAATAGATGCAATACTTCCGGTAAAGTTGCATAAAGTTTCTAAGTAGCCAACGCTTTCAGTAAACATCTTTTAGCAAAATATTATTTACCTGTCATAAATTAATGCGATTTTCAATAATATCTTGCAAAAGTTACTGTTAAAGCGATTTGGGTTATTTTTAGTAACAAATCCATACTCCAACTTGCGTAAATTATATGCAAGTTGGTGGTTTTCCTCAACCTGATAAAGTGTATCCCAGGTGGGTAGTGAAGGCACTCCTTATCAATGTAAGATAGTGATTAAAAAAAAGTTATAATATGTTTTAAAAGAAATAAAGGGTATATTAACTTTTAATGATGCAGATAGTTTAGTAACAAAGCCAACTGCACTTAGATTGTGTCTGTTATGCATTGTTTAAAAGTGTAGTAAATGAAAGCAATTGAACAGATCCAAGAAGGAAAGGAAAGGAAAGGGAAAGCATTTTATAAAGCATACAGATAAAGTTTACAGTACATCATATGCCTGCATTAAGAGAGACAATAAAACAAATGAGGATGAGGGAAAAATAGCATAGATAAGGAAAAAAGGAAAGGAAAAGGAGGAAGTTTTTAAGATGTGTATACCATCACAGTTTTTAATATGTACATGTACACTGTAATATAACATTCCTTTAATTATCACATTGCCCCCCCCCCCCCCCCCCCCCCCCCAAAGGATATATATATATAACGGTGTACAGGTATACTATCTTGCTCAAGTTACTTAATTTCCTAAACAAAACTGAGATACCAATAACCATAAGGATTCGAGGTATCTTTTTATCCCATATTAAAGGCTTTTCTAAAGAGATTTTTATGTTTTACCTCCAACCTCTATGGATGTATGATACATACACATGTCCCATGTTGGATATATATATGCGTATCCCACATTGGTGCACTCGGTGACCTGTACTTTTATGCAATCAAAATCAGATGACAGCGTATTAAGTCACTATTGAAAACACATTGAAACACTGTTTGGCTGACTGTGGCAATCTTACTATCACCAAGTGACACGCCCTCAAAGCAAAATAATTGTTGTGTTTAATAAGCAAGCCCTGAAGGTCTTGTATGAATCTTTCAAATTTGAGATATATCTACAGTCAACTATACTTTTTTCTGCACTTTCTAAATATGGTTATCTAAAACTTTTGCTATAATTAGTGCTGCATTTGCGTTTTACTAAAGCTTCAGTAATGAGGTGAGAGAAACAAGGAAATCGTTCTGTGGGATATGGATATTCTCTTCTTGGGTACAGAATTTTGGTACTAGAGCCTCAAAGCTGAGGTTCTGAAACTGAATTCTGCACCCAATGGTAGAACATTCACAGGGATTAATGCAGGAATAGAAATTTAGTACCCTTTTTTGAAACAGGAGAAAATATGCACTGTAGGTGTATGACCTGTCCAGCGAGGGCTACAGGCCAGAGCCAGGGGGAGAGTACAAGAGGGGGGGGGGGGGCATGGATGACATCTTTAATTTATTTATGTTTCTCGCTGTGTTCACTATAGACTATGAAATATATATATCAGCAGTGACAATTAACAACAACACAGGGAAAATGAAATAAATTACTCAATTGTGGAACTGATGGAAAATTAAAAAATATAGAACCAAGACAGTTATTCATGTGGTAGTATTTCAGTTACAAGTGGGGGAATTTAAATAGGGGAAAATAATGCCAAAATTGGAGAGGGGACCGGAACTGGCCCATAATCGACTGTAAAAAAGGCCTGTGCATATATCCATGAGCTACCCTCCATGATGGTTGGCCAGATGTACATGTGCAGGCAGTATATATAACTTTAAAAAATCCATTTCCTTCAGTCTGAAGAATATAGTAAAAGGAATTAATTTTTCATAAAAATGTTTTATATCACTAGCATATTTCCATTTATTGGTAAATAGTTTATCAATGACAAAAAAAATGAATATCCCTGCTTTTATCTGAGAGTTTTTTGTGAGGAACAATTTCATTTTACATCATTGTATAAATTATTGTTTGTCAATTGCTATGTGACAATTATATATAGCTACAGTGTTGTAATCTACTTGTTACAATTCTGGTATTGTTTGTTTGCCACAGAGGTCTCGGAAGGAAGGGACACATTATTGGAAGGACGACATGAGTTTAACTTCAACTTTGAACTGCCAATGGGGTAAGTAAATAAGAAGGTGATTATGAGCAGGTAAATATCATTTGGGCAAAAATACATCTGTACGTGTTTCCCTGTTGAGTACCTATTCTAGATTTTATTGCCTGCCCTAGTCTTTTTCTCACTTATTAGTCCGAATTTTGTCTGAGGAATATAGCTTACCCTCCTTTGCCTGTTAAACGTTGTGTGTGATATGATTGACGGCAGAGTATCACATATATACTATATAGTCAGGTCCTGTTTCCCTCTGCATGGAACAGAGTAATGTGGCTTTGTAGATTTTTGATACAGAAGTTTGTATGGAGGTAGGGGACAGTAATAAATATTGATTGCTCACAATAATTTGTCTTGTTTTTAATAAGTACTGTAATAAAATACATGTAAGATATAATACTGAGAGAATATCAGCCTGATCTTTAGTAAGGTAAAAATAACAGTTGCTCAAATTCAATATCAAGTTCCCATTAAATTCAAATTGGCCATGGCCTCTTGTATTTGTCAGGCTTGTGGTACTGTACATGTATTCCAGTACATATTTACACTGAATCACAACCATCACATATTGTTAAACATACCTTTACCTTTATGTGCTAATCTGATTTTCATGAATTACCGTTTTGCAGTGGAATCTCAACCTCTTTTGAGGGTAAGCATGGAAGCATTAGGTACTGGCTCAAGGCAGAGATGGATAAACCTTGGTCGTTTAATCACAAAACAAAGAAAGCCTTCACCGTCATCAGTCCTATTGACATCAACAAACCAGAGTACCAGGTACCTGCACTTTGTTCTAAATGATTTTGACGAGTTCCAAATGTGGACTCATGACAAGAAACAATTAATGCATACACTATTGTGATTTCTTGCAACTATTTGCATGTGTTTGCACTTGGCAGGGGAGTGCCTTGTGAATATCGAATATTTTAAAATTTAACACAAATATTACTTCTAATGTGTTTTACTGTATTTGTTGATTTGAATGGTGATTTGCAGGAATTATTTTCTCTCTAATTTATATATGATATTATCACAGTGATTCACTTTATGATCAAACAATTGCTCTCATCCATGTACCATATAAAATTACATCAGGCACATTGATTTGCTGACAGGAACTTGGCATCAAGAAAACTAATGAAATTTAACAAATTTAAACAAGAGATTACCAGTTTTGTTGTTAAACTGTATTGTCTAAATTTGATACCTTTTTGAGAAATCATTGCTTTGTTTTTTCATTCTTTAATTCAAACACATTCATACGTATGTATTAGCTCAGTTTGAGGTGTACGTTAGGTACTGAAGCTGAGGTAGGTGTGGTGTATCTGGAAGGCTGAGATGGTTTAGTCTGTTTGTTAGCTGGCAGGAGGCGGGTTGGCAGTACTAGTGCATCTCCTGTGTAAATTATAATTATATCCCTTGACTTACAGACGTGTGTTCAGAGCAGTGCAGAAACAACCCTATGTTGTTGGTTGTGTACATCGGGGCCAATCTCCATCACCGCCAGGTCTGATCGCCGTGGCTACTGTGCTGGTATGTGCTCACAGCAAATCTAATGAACTGACAGAGGGAACCTGTTGATGGAATGTGGTTGGTGGTGTCAGAAAAAATCAAATTCAAATGTAAATGGGACTGAGATGAGATTTGGAAACATAGCATTTATTATCTGTTTCCTTTTGATATTACATTAGTGTATGGGCATTTTTGAATAGTTTTGATGTAAACAGAAACAGCTGATTCTTGCCTTATTCCTTATCTGACAGTTACAGTTAAATACTTCTCTGAAGTGTTGGGGCCTCAGGAAACATTTCATTGGCTTAATTCAAACAATAAGGGGATTTTGACTTAAACAACTGTTCGTTAATTGATAAATGAAAAGCAAATGTTATCTGACGTTGTCTGTATCATTAATTTATTTAAACTTTGGCACGATGATGCTGTCTGCTGAACCAGTTGTAATGAAACTAAATTTGATTGGCTGTTTGCCACTATCAGCCAGTAAGAGTTACCCAGGCACAGGTCAGAACTATTGACCTACTGGTAATTATTTACTTTTTATTATTCTGGGAAACATTTGAAATAGTTTTTATATGTATTCAGGCAGACAGGAAGTCAGGTAAAAAATTTAAGACACTAGAAAGTCTTGTAGCAATTTAAGATAATAGAAAATCGGGTAACAATATCTATAATCAGCTTGTTATACTTATTATAGTTATTGATATTGGGAATGTATTTGTAGAGAAGGATAGGTATACTTTCACTGTATTGTCTGGCTGGTGTGGTTTTAGTGCTAGTCAATTAACTGTTACTGATAGATCTAGAATGAACACTTGATCAAAGAATTTGTAATTTTTTGTAGGAGAATCAATAGCAGTGTCAGCCGAGTTTGATAACCACTCATCACGAACGGTGATACCCTATGCTACTCTGTACCAAACACAGGCCTTCTTTGCCAGTGGCAAAACAAGGGTCAGGAGAACCAAGTTCACAGTCCTCACAGGTAAAGTCTTGTTTACACGCTTACAGGTAAAGTCAAGTTTACACTCTCACAGGTAAAGTCATGTTTATACTCTCACAGGTAAAGTCAAGTTTACACTCTCTCAGGTAAAGTCAAGTTTACACTCTCACAGGTAAAGTCATGTTTATACTCTCACAGGTAAAGTCATGTTTACACTCTCACCGGTAAAGTCAAGTTAATACTCCCAGGTAAAGTCATGTTTATACTCTCACATGTAAAGTCATATTTACACTCTCACAGGTAAAGTCAAGTTTACACTCTCACCGGTAAAGGCCATGTTAATACTCACAGGTAAAGTCATGTTTATACTCTCACAGGTAAATTCATGTTTATACTCACAGGTAAAAACATGTTTATACTCTCACATGTAAAGTCATATTTACACTATCACAGGTAAAGTCATGTTTAAACTCACAGATAAAGTCATGTTTACACTCTCACAGATAAAGTCATGTTTATACTCTTAGGTGAAGTCATATTTACACTCTCACATGTAAAGTCATATTTACACTCTCACAGGTAAAGTCAAGTTTACACTCTCACCGGTAAAGTCATGTTAATACTCACAGGTAAAGTCATGTGTAAACTCTCACAGGTAAAGTCATGTTTATACTCACAGGTAAAAACATGCTTATACTCTCACATGTAAAGTCATATTTACACTATCACAGGTAAAGTCATGTTTAAACTCACAGATAAAGTCATGTTTACACTCTCACAGATAAAGTCATGTTTATACTCTTAGGTGAAGTCATATTTACACTCTCACAGGTAAAGTCAAGTTTACACTCTCACAGGTAAAGTCATGTTTATACTCTCACATGTAAAGTCATATTTACACTATCACAGGTAAAGTCATGTTTAAACTCACATAGATAAAGTCATGTTTATACTCACAGGTAAAGTCATGTTTATACTCTCACATGTAAAGACATGTTTATACTCTCACATGTAAAGTCATATTTACACTATCACAGGTAAAGACATGTTTATACTCTCACAGGTGAAGTCAAGTTTACACTCTCACAGGTAAAGTCAAGTTTACACTCTCACATGTACATGTAAAGTCATGTTTATACTCTCACAGGTAAAGTCATGTTTATAATCACAGGTAAAGTCATGTTTATACTCTCACAGATAAAGTCAAGTTTACAATCTCACAGGAAAAGTCAAGTTTACACTCTCACAGGTAAAGTCAAGTTTATACTCTCACAGATAAAGTCATGTTTATACTCTCACAGGTGAAGTCAAGCTTACACTCTCACAGGTAAAGTCAAGTTTACACTCTCAGAGGTAAAGTCATGTTTACACTCTCACAGGTAAAGTTATGTTTATACTCTCACAGGTAAAGACTGGTTTATAATCACAGGTAAAGTCATGTTTATACTCTAACAGGTAAAGTCAAGTTTCCAATCTCAAAGGTAAAGTCAAGTTTCCAATCTCAAAGGTAAAGTCATGTTTACACTTTCACATGTAAAGTCATGTTTACACTCTCACAATTAAGTCATGTTCACACTCCCACAGGTAAAATAAGATTCTAACTTTCACAGGTAAAGTCATGTTTACAATCTCACAGGTAGAGTCATATTTACACCTTAATAGGTAAAGTCATGTTTACACTCTCACAGGTAAAGTCATGTTTACACTCTCACAGGTAAAGTAAAACCATTTCTCACTGGTTTTAAACTAATGATTGTCATTCTTATAGGTAAACATATGTTTACTATTCTTTCAGGTGAATTCATATTAACATTTCTTGCTGGTCAAGTCATGCTTTAAAATATCTATAGTTTCACTAAGCCAAGTTCATAGTTTTTACAGGCAAACTCATGTTGTTATTCTGTCAGGTAAATATTAAGTTGCCTTAAAAATACAGAATTATCCATTACGAATACCTGATCCTGTAAGTATCTCTTGTAATTGTAGGATTACCTGTGGCCCCTGGGACCCGAGGGAACTGGGAGTCCCAGCTCCTCAAGATCCCAGCAGTGTCTCCATCTATCATGAACTGCTGTGTGATGAAAGTAGATTATTACATCAAAGTGAGTATAGGCGAAATATTCTTGCTAAATGGCTTTTGACCGTTTTTCTTTACAAAAATATTTCAGTTTATTGTGTAGTTAGAAAGTGAACTTCTGACTTGTGTACATATTTGTTGTGTCCTACCAGCCCTGATCAGTCTACAGTGTCGAAGAGTTGGAACTGTCTGACATGCTGTTAGATACCATGTTGAAGGCTCTTTGTATAAGACCTAAACAGGGTTTTAAGACTTAAGTGGCATTTAATTGGAGGAAACTAAATTAGCTTCATGGTTGAATTGTGATACAATTTACTTTCCCGAGATCTAAGGATAAAAAAAAAATAAAAAAGATATAGATTATGTCTCAAGATAATAATACAGATAATGTTTATCTACAGTTGGCCTTATAGTGAAATTATCACTGGCCTAACCAAGTTTTAAAGTGTATTTGTAAGTGAAATAAAACTGAGAGTGCTTTACTTCAGTTTTTTAAAAGCAATGTGTCCTTGAAGAAGTCGTCAATATCCTAAATTTTTGTAATATTTAGCTGTATACTTGTGAATCGCCTTTCATGCTAATACATGGTCAAACTTCTCTTGACCAACTATAGAAGGTGGGTGTGACAAAATGTCTCATAAGACAGATGGTCACTTAATACAGGTCCCTAAAACGTTTTTTTATAAGACTGAAGAGGCAAATTATAAAAGATCATAAATTTAGGATAAGGAAAGGTAAGTATTGTTATATAAATTAAAAAAATAAGACTGAAGAGATAATTTATAAAAGATTGTGAATGTTAGATGAGGAAATTTAAAGGTCAGTATTGTTATACAAATAAACAATAACTGTTTGAGTATTATGTGTGTTAAAATTGCTTACATGTATACATGTATATCAATTTGAAAAAGGTTCATAACATTCTAGAATTTTCAAGTATTACATGACATTGTGCAGCTGCAATAACCTCGTGGTAATTGTTGCGTGTTTCTATATTTGTTTAACACAGGTCGCCTTACACATACCCGGGGCTTATAATTTGACCATGCATTTACCCATTGTCATCGGAACAGTTCCATTTAGACGTGGAACCTTCAGGTTCCCAGAGCCACATTTCTTCAGAGAGAACCAACGTCATTTTGATAGTGTGGATTATCTTCCCATCCCCCCACCCTACAGAGAGACAATCACACCACCTCCACCATTTGATGGTAAGTTATCCCTTCCTTCTTGCCATTGTCAAGTTGATGGGTGTGATGAATCAAGTTGGGTCATTGAACATATTGAATTGATTGCAAAGCTTTTCTTCGTAAATTGTCTCAAAACCAACTGAATTCATTATGCTGAATATTTGATCATAACAAGTTTTGAACCATATTTAAATACCAATATGATAAAGATGTGTTTTGCTGTCAGACTGACTGCCAATTACTGATTATGACATAATTTCCATGGATATGGTTGACACTACTGCATGCAATGGTCATTATAAATAGATGAAAACTCATTAAAAGTTTTCATAAATTTTGCATTAAAGTTGCATAAAAAGTACATTAAATTAAGCATTAAAATGTGGCATGATTAATGCCCATGACATTTCCCTTAAATTGATGGTGACATCATTTCCATTGTTATCTTTGAGTCATCTTTCAATTCAAGATAAAATTAATTGGATAACAATTGGTAGGTTTATCAAGTCAAATAGCAGTACCAATAAAAATCTAGATTGATGTCAAATATATCCTAGCTGTTTTTGGTTCCATGATAATAATTAGGGTTACTGTATTAAATTCCACAAATATTGGACAGTCATAAGAAATCTATAGCTCTCAATAATATTTTTGTTTCGTCACATATTTTTAACAATAAGGTAGTGTTATTCTTGTTACGAACATCAAATACGTAAAAAGTTGCCATGTCATGTACCAAAATTGGAACACTGCGACCTCTATTTGACTTTTGACCTTGACCTCAAGTGTGAAAATACAGGATTCAGGAGCATATGATGGATCTGCGTCTTGTATAGATATATATATAGGTACATGCTGGGAAGTTCCTGTGTGACATACCAAAATAACGTTATCACTGTGACACAACCTCTTCTTACATGTACCTATTGACTCCTAATCTAGGATACAGAAATATAGGATTTGAGAGCATATTGAGGCAATTGTTTGATGTATGGACTTCACATGAGGTGTTGGTTACTATCAAACTCATTTACCGAAATACAGGTTTTGGAGCCATATCTTGTCCAAAAGATTCATGTAGGGAGAGCATGCAAGTAACATGTTGCATGTAGGGAGAACATACTAGTAACATGTTGCATACCAAAATGGGTTAAAGAAACCTCTATTCTGTAATTTCAGGTAAAAATGTGGGATGCAGTGGTATTCATTGCTATTGCCATTTATATAATTCATGTACATGAAATTAATTCTGCACAGAGATTTAATTATTATGTAAAGACCAATACAAACATATTCATACCTATGCTAACGTTGAAATGTTTGTTTTGCTGTCATAAATAAAAAACAACTCTTCAAATGGGAATTTAAAACTATGTTTTTAGTGAGCTTGTTTTATATTTTGACTTGTAAGAAGTCCAGAAACAGATATAAATGCCTTGTGTAAGTGTCTCAAAACAATTTGAATTCATTCTTAAATCTCTTTGGTAATCAAATAGTTATATTGATGGGTTCATTGGGTGTATACATGTGTTACATTGACCTTGAAGACCCACCGACGTACCACGAGAGTGTGGGTGGAGCCGTGAATATCTGGGACGATGAGGACGACGACCCGAGATACAACATGGGCGACCTCACTTATACACCTATGTACACCTACGTTTACAACTACAGACCTCCACCGGCATACTCCGAGGTAAGGAATCACGCCTTTACTCTCAGTCCACACTAGTCGCCTCAGTAATCCAACTAGCGAAATTTATGAAAATGAAAAGTTACAAAATCCAGAATTTCCATACAGTGTTCAAGTTTATGTTTTAACAACGCAGGCATAAAAAATACACAATACAGTGTCTCAAAAACTAAAGATTACATTAATTTGGCTTTAGTAATGATATCAATGATATTTATAATCAACACACAGCCTATTTCCTGAAGGATTACCCAAAGATACTTTTGCACTGTTCTTTAAAAATCTAGTCTTAAAATACCTATCTTTACCATTAAGTCGCGCTCATCCGAGCTCTCTTCGCCACAGGAGGACCCTAACCCAGTTCAGATATGTGAAGTCCCTGCCATCAGATCGGCAGCTGAAGATGTATGATGATGTCTTACCTGCAAACAATGTGTCATTTATTTTAAAATACCTGTTGGTGCAGATCTGTCACCTGTGACTGAAATGTCGGTAATACAGGTGTGACGTTTATCCTCCTGCTCTACAGTTGGTTTTGTGGCCTTTTGCATTGCTATGACGACGTCGAACCACTTTTTAATGACCATGTACCTCAATTGAATTGACTAAGTGTTAATAACACTGGTGTTAAGAGAAGATCACTATGAAGGTAGGTCATCCTGTTAATAAGGCAATCTCAAGGTTTGTAATCAGGACGGAGAGATCACGGAGAAGGCCATCTTGTCAACAGCAGCGGGCCTACTCACATACAGTATGGCCATCACAAAATCGTTTAGAATATGATGTAAGAAAAATGAAACATTTTTGAGTCTAGATAATGAATGAAGGTAGCATTTGTACGAATCATTTGTATGGATCATTTTCAGCTTTTTACCATGCATTGATTTTTGTTTTGATTAACTGCAGCATGTATTACATGACCATTGCTCCAACTCACTCTTGACAAGATTAATATTTGTTTAATATTTCACCAGTTTATGTGGTCACATTTACGAGATGGTTTAAATAGTGATTCTGTAAGACTACGTACGTGAGTATATAAAATCATGGGTAGATGTTGTACAATTTCATTTTTTGGAATAAATACCCGGATTTTTTTTTAAATTATTAGGATGTATCTTTTCATACATTTGTTTCAAAGATGTGTCATTTCTCTATAAAATAGGGAGTCTTATTGTTATGAATTGTATCAGTTATTCTATTCACTGACAGAAAAAAAATTGCACACAATTTTTAAAAAAATCTGAAAAATCCTAAAAGATAAAAAGTACTTATTATCCTAATCTTATATACTGGTGATAATGAAACGGTAATTTGTTGTTCTTTTTTACTCTGGCCCTGAAAACTTAATATGAGTTGGTTGGAAAGTGTTTTTTTTCTACCAAGGATAAGGTTATCGGAGTGAATTGAGAAGAGGTTGTTTTTGATGAGGTGTTGAGATAAACTAGATGAGTTTATCACGTGGAATGTAACACAACATGTATGTTTGTTGGTGCTATATATTAGTCGTTTTCAATAGTTGTTGTGCATATTATTTATTGAATAGTTATTATTTACATATAATCGTAAGGCATTTTATGTAAAAAACGTTTTATATTAATATTATTGTGTTTGTTGATAACTGATTAATAAATGTTCGGTACTCTAGTAAACGTGATCTGGTAAATTGCGAAACTTTTGTTGCATAAGTTTCATTTTCTGTTTAACAGAAATTACTAATTTACACAAAACGAGAATAAAATGTGCAGAAACGTTCTTGAACTAGACAAAATCCATTTTATTTGAACGGAGAAAGATCTTATAAACCCCCCATGTATAAATACAATTGGCTTCATTTTCATTTTTGTGAATGTAGAATTGGTTTGAGAGTATGGGAGATTGACATTGTTTACTGGTTAGATTAAGGAGTTGTTGATTTTACTAAATGATAGAACCGGTGTAGTTAATTGAAAGCATGAATGAAGTAGTATACAACACACAAATGTCACAAACTGAGGCCCCTTTAGGGTGTCGTATATACACACTCAGCATCTTGATGATAACCTTAGCAAGTATTCATTTCATGGATGATGTGTAAGTTTTCCTAAATCCTTAACAAAGCTTAACATTGATGATGTATCAGTGTCAAGCAAAGCATATTCTAGACACATGTTGTTATAATGTATTACCCAAATTCTTCTCCTAATGTTAAATCCGTATTTTAATTTAATAATGGTATAGGTTTATACAGGAGGGGAACAAAGTGTAGTATAGGCTTATACAGGAGGGAGACAGTGTGGTATATGTTTATACAGGAGGGAGACACAGTATGGTATAGGTTTATACAGGAGGGAGACACAGTATGGTATAGGTTTATACAGGAGGGGAACAAAGTGTGTTACAGGAGGGAGATGTGGTGTGGTATAGGCTTATGCAGTAGGGAGACACAGTGTGGTATAGGCTTATACAGGAGGGTGACACAGTGTGGTATAGGGTGTTACAGGAGGGAGACGCGGTGTGGTATAGGGTGTTACATGAGGGAGACGCAGTGTGGTATAGGCTTATGCAGTAGGGAGACACAGTGTGGTATAGGGTTTTACAGGAGGGAGATGCAGTGTGGTATAGGCTTATACAGGGGGGAGACAGTGTAGTATAGGCTTATACAGGAGGGTGAGACAGTGTGGTATAGGGTTTTACAGGAGGGAGATGCGGTGTGGTATAGGGTGTTACAGGAGGGAAACACAATGTTGTATAGGCTTATACAGTAAGGAGGCACAGTGTATTGAAGAATTACAAATATACATAGAATTGTGTAGGATTGTATAGCATTAAAGCAAAACATCGCAGAGGTTTGTACAGCAGGCAAAGCAGGTAGCGGCATATGCTAACTAGTCAGAAATAATGATACTTTTGTTAAAAGAAATTGAATTCAAGATGAAAAAAATTACAAACATATTTCACTTATACAAGAAATCTTATAGTAAAACTTAAAAAAGATATTTGAAAATCACTGTTGGATCACTGTGAAATTATTTAAAAGTATTCATTACTTAAAATGTTGACGATTAGCAGTGTAAACAATTCACATTGCATGAAGTATAACATTGTCTTTATAGATATAACACAAAGACTATCCCCATTTCTCAGGTATAGTACTCCCAGCCTGACATTTTATACCCCCTACATTTAACCAACTGCTACTATTTATTTGTATTGTTGACATCACCATTACATGTACATTACATGTTGATTAACATAGAAAGTATTTATTTTTGTTTTTGATGTTTCATACATAAATATATTCATGGTTTAGAGTCAGCCTGTGTGGATAAAGTTTTTCTTGCTTCATGTTTTTATAAAAGATGCCTGTATGTATTTCCAGTGCAATATTTGCACCGAAATATTGTTTTGGTTTTATTTATTTCATTTTTGAAATATTATGTAAATAATGCTAACATCAAAACAGATACGTATACATCCAGGGCATTTTTATATCACAACTATACACAATATTTTTCAATTTAGCATTTGGGATTTGAAATTAAGTTCAGCTGAGATTGATTTAAAAGCATTCTTTAATTTACTTAATATCAGTGCAATTTTGATCATGAATTATTTTGGGAATGTCCATTCATTTTATTATACTTATAACAATAGGATGGCATTTATGAGTTTTAAGTTGAGATTGATTTAACTAAAATCCTGAAAAGTATAATATTAAAACAGGTATATGTGCCTATGACCTGTTTAAACAGCATTAATCAAGCCCACATGTACATGTTGGGTCATATAGTCTCGCTATACCCTGGTGTAGAAGTTGGCACACACACTGTTTTTTTCCTAGAGGTATTCTTAGATTCAAGCGATATCAATTTGAGTAAATTCATGTTAGTTTATTGATGAATGTCATCGTATTCAACATCCTTATGGGTTTAAGAAGGAAATTCTCTTCTGTATCAGTTTTTTCTGTATTGCATTATGTACTAGATTTTATTTTTTTGTAAGTGTCCAAGGGAAGGTAACTTCATCATATTATTAACTCGTTAGGCCCAAAGTGATAAATGTGCTTATGGTATTGTGTAGCATACATTATCCATCTGTTCATAAACTATTTTTTCTTTAAAACAGTATCTACTGTACATCCATATTGAGATGAAGGGCTATAAGTTTGTTCAAATGAATGGTATTGACCCACATTCAAGGTCACAAGGGCAAATAACTCCATATGAACAACCAGAAGGCCCAGGATCATAGTATGTAATATGTTGGTATTAAGGGCAGTAAACTTTGTTAAAAAATTATTACTTTACCAACTATTAAGGTCATAGAGGTAAAATGTGTTAACATGATTTAATGATGTAAAGGTAGCTTTTGCTGTAATACTTGACCGAATAGAACATAGCCTTGTATACTGTCATTGAAGTGTACATGTAATCTTCTTTTAACCTTATTGTGATTCAGTATTAAAGTGGGTTTTTTTTAAAACTCATTTTAGACTTTCAATCCATATTGAAGTTTAAATATAATTTTAAACATAAAAAGAAATAATAATTTGAAGTGTTATACAAATATATTTTATTTCCCCAATTTGGTGGTTGAATGTGATATACATTTTCGACATTTGTTGAGGAGTCCGGGCATAAAATCTATACATAAGTGAAAACAAATTCCGGATATTTTCTTTTAAGGTTATCTCCCTTGGACTAGATTAATTTGCCTTGTGATTCAGTTTTGTTCTGCATTATTTTACACCCTTGGGTGTAGAGTTTAAGGCCAGAATATAACAGTGAACCTCCTTTCTGACCTGATGTTTTACACACTTAGGTAGGTAGAATTTCCATAGCCCTCATACTTATTTACGATAGACTCTCTCTTAATCTCTGAATAGTGTAACAACATTCTAGATTTCATGAAAAAAAGATGACAAGCACCTGTCTTTTATGCATGAATAGTGTCGGTTGTTGCATTTACCTGTAGTATCAATGATCCTGAATAATCTTTAGATTGCAATTATTGATGTTGAATAAACATTGTTTTGTTCTAAAATATTCAGAAGTTAACAAGTTGTTCATGGATTTTTTTTATTTTTTTTATAAATATATGGATATAAACAATTACTGTAAATCTTCTCATTCAAGGAAAATTTCGTGTAAGTTTGAAGAATGACTTTTCTATACATGTTTATTAAAATCATTTGAAATATTTATTTCAATTTTTATTCTGCTTGTTAGGATTTAATTGTTATGTCCACAGTAAGTATTTTTCAGAAATTTCATGCAAAATATTTTCATGTTTGAAGAAAAACAGCTTACCAGTACTAAAATGTTCTTTCTTTCCTTATTTTTGAGCTTCAAAATAATTTGTTCTTTCTTATTAGTTCTTAGGTATATTGAAAAATACAAATTGTTTTGATATTTAGAAATAATATAAACTATTCATTTACAAATAAGAAAATGCATTGAATTAAATAACAAGTTATGATTTTAAATGGCTAAAATTAACCCATAGAAAAAGGAAAATTCCAAAACAAAAGGAAAATTCCTAAACATATTTTCTTTTCTCCAATTATGTTTAGAAATCGCTTTCCCTTTAACAGGCAGGACAGATATTGTTCAGGCTAATAACAGAAACAACTGACACTAAACAGGTGATGGTAAGGAAGTATAAGGCCTAATAAATACTTATCAGATTTGCCCATTTTATCATTGTGTGGTATGCCTTCACATTTTGTAATGATAATCATCTAAAGTGGTGTGTACTTGGGTTAATTTGTGGTACATTTTTACTTGTGGATACTAATACAGTGAGCTCACGCTTTTTTGCCAAATGTATAGTGTGACATTATTGATTTTTCTCTGAAAATGCCAGTGTTGATTTTAATTATATTGTTTTTGTAATTTTGCAAGCTTTTTACGTTTATTATTATTTTGACTATTGATTATTTATGCATTTTTTATTATTATGTTGAACCAACATATTTCTGTGGTTATTGCGTCCATATTTTTCCAGTTTTGGGTTTATTTTACATTTGCATTTTGTCCCCCTACACTGATCAACCAAGACCGCTTACATCTAAGAGGGGAGGAATTCCATTTTGTTTTACTCGCACTTTGATTTGAAGCATTTTATTGAGTTTTTTTTATTGTGATCTGTTCATTAATAAATAATTAATTAGACCAAATCGACAGTATTCTTTGAATACAGTCATTCAGAATTAATAATCATGTTTTATTTCAAAATATATTTATTTTGAGTTTCCATAATTTCTTTTCATTTTTTTTCACAATAAAAGAAATATCTTTTGTCATGTTTTTCATCCTTATATACCAGGTATGTACTTTTTTTTACAACAAGTAAGAAACAACATTTATCTACCTATATTAATCACTTTTGTTGGCTCAAGTTAAAGTGCACAAGGGGTCTTAATGTGGGAGGAAACTGAAATACCCAGAGGAAACCCAGGTGGTCGGGCAAGTGACAAATACCTTCATCAAACCCCCAGTTGTCTTGGTGAAAGCCAAGTGCGCTATCCATTGCGCCACCTGTCCACCCTTATTGTTTGCCAAACCATACAGTCTGTATGTGGTGATATAACTATGTGGGCATATAAGTACCAGGTAAATGTTCAAAAGTATCTTTTTCTGTGACCTTCATAGTTCTCAGCTGTCGGGAAAGTCTTATTATGGAACTTTATAGGTAGATATGTCATGACTAGACAGTGTTGCAGATAACTCTCATGTTCATACTTTTAAGCCTATAACAGCTTGGGTCAAAAGTTCAAACAATTCTTTTTTGGGGTATAACTTTTTCGTTTTTTTTTTTAGTTGGTCATAGCAAATTATGCTTTTTTAACTGAGGCAATCCCGTATTAAAGAAGTCAATAAAGATATTTCGTATTTTCTGGATACTTTTAACGTGAACAAGTTTATAATAGTACAATAAGTTTAATCATCTTTGAAAGATAATAAGTTCAATTATTAGGCAATTTCGGTCAACATGGCTATATGTGTCTAAAACCTACAACTTTTAGCAGGTCGGATGCATAACATTTGCAGAACAGTTTTTCAATGTTTTTAGTTTATGAAAAAAGGAATGTTTCTGTTATTATATAAATATTTTCCTTTATATCTTTGTGCCCTGTCTCTAGTGCTAACTCAGTTGCTTCCCCTGAAGTAGTATCTTCCCGTTGGTAAAGGATTTGTGCAATAAAACTTTACATATACACATGTACTGTTATGACAAATGTTGGTTACACAGTTTTATATTGTTGCTTTGATGGTGCATGTTTGTCCAGAATGTCCCGTGCCAAACAGTTTGTTAGTTTGTATGCTTCTGTATTTATTTTGCTATATTTTGCAAAATTTGTTACCATGTGATACTAATCATTATTGTTTAAAATGTTTTAGAGGTAGATGTCTTAGAGACCACATTTCTGAAAAATTATTGATTGTATGTTATTTAAAAACCTAGACCCTGTCATTTATGATTTTTCTATGCATACTTTTTGAAAGTTACATTTATTTTGGATTTTTTAAAATTTAAAACTTTATGCTGCATTGTTTGGATTCTGTGAAATCAAAATTTCTTTTCTAAGTTAAAATTGGTTAAGAATTGTGGTCCCATATAACCTAGGTTCACTTTTAAGCTTGAATCCCTCCCACTTCATAATAGGATAAGTGTTCAATGAAAAATAAATATGCTCCGTTTATATAATTTGTTGTTCAACAGTCGTGGAAGATTTATATTACAACCCAATGAGATTTTGTTTTTAGCAGGTCATCAGAATTATGTTCATTTGAATCAATATTCCTTTGAGAAACATTTTTTTGTGTAAATCAAACACATCCTTAGTTCATTACTTTTCGAACAAATATGGTTGATATTGTACAGACATTGGAAGAATGAGAAAACACGGAGGTGACAAATGAAGTTTACACGTACTGTTAATACAAGGAAAACAATGAAAGTCGTCACATTTGAATATTTATTTTTTGCATTAAACTTTTGACATACTTGAGTTTGGTTATATTATACAAATCATGCAATGCTCAGATTCTGTCAAAATCATTGAAAAGGACAAGTTGTTATTTATATATCCATGTGTTTTACATTACTTATCTACATTAAAGGGAATCGTAAAGGTTAGCATTGAGAATACATGGCCGTCATGGTAGGGATTTTGTACTACCTTCGTATTATTATAGCAACTACATTATTTCATTGTCCTCTCCCGCATAAAAAAAATATGCATGTTGTTTTATTTCATATGTATATTTTTGGGCATATGTTTGTATGATCATAGAATATTTCTATTTAATACATGTTGAGTGAATAGTTTGGTTAGATGGGAGGCTGTAGTAGATATATAACTCTATGGGAATTGTAACACTACATAGACTCTGGATAGTGTCTTTTGCTTTTCCTCTTCTTGCCCTATTCCATCTTTGTGTATTGCAGAGTTATCTTCTCTTATGAGCAGGTATTGATTGTTACGTCATTTGTTTGTGAGAGTAACGTCATCAATTTTTGAGAAAACGACGTAACAATCGATACCTGCTCACAAGAGATGATAACTCTGCAATACTCAAAGACGGAATATTGAACAGATGATCAGTACCAACTTATTTCCTTTCTCTCAATTTTTTGAGGTTGTGAAAAATCTACATATACTCCTGTCAGGGTTATCATCGGTTATCTAATCTCTGGTTTCATTACAAAAGGTTTAAATAGAGATATCTTGAAGTTAGCCATTGTAATAGGAAGCGTGTTCTGTGATTATTAAGTTTCAAAAACGTTTTGCTGTGACTATTATTTTTTTGGCCCGTGAAAAACAGTTCAGTGAATGGATTCTTATCGTAATTCATTATTAATACATATTGTAAAAATTGTAATGAAATAAAAAATAAAGGGGTGTTATTTTTACTCTTTTTATCTAAATTGAATGGAAGGTATGTGAAACAACTTTTTAAAATGATTTGTATGTCATGAAAAAATAAATAAGATAGAAATTCGAAAACGATTTTGTATATACTTGCGCTAAATTAATGGAAGCTAAATTTATAGTAAGTATAACTTTGAAAGTTTAAATATTGTAGGATTATTGTATTTTGAAAATAAGAACAACTCTGATTGAAAATGTATTTGATGGTACTGAATTTAATTCAGGCAGTTAAACTTAACTGTAAGATAGTTGGTTTTGATATTTAAATTTTTTATTTTTATTTTAAAGACATGTACAAAATCAAATGAGTTTACTCCAGGATATCGTAAGTGTAGTATTTCTTGAAAAATATGGATGTCATCAAAGAAAGGGTTATAAAGTCGAACTGCAAACACGAGAAAATATCTAGAGGCTGCGTTGAGTTATGAAGCCATTAGCTAGAATAATATTGTACTAAAACATAGCCAAATATGTAATTATGTTGAATAGTGCTTGTGCATATTTGTTGTTCAGTAGTATGAATGCTTTTTTGACAAATCGAGTGTTGGTAAATTTACAGGGTAGGATTTGCTTACTAGTGGGAATATACTTGACCGAATAATCCAAGATTAAACCTATATAACTGTCAGCATCACTGACAGCTCTGATGCTAAGCCTGATTGATAAAAATCCCAATGACTGCAGATATAAATCTTAAACTATTGAATAGTTTCAATTACGGCCAAATTTGACTAAACCTATATAATTGTCACCATATTTTACAGATCTCAAGCTAAACCTATGAAATAGTCCGCATATCTCGTGGATCTAAAGCTAATTAAGCCTATGAAATAATCCCCATATCTTACAGATCTTCAAACTAAACCCATGGAAAAGTCCCCATATCTTACACATCTTCAAGCTTACCTATGAAATAGTCCCCATGTCTTTTCAGTTCTTTGAACTAAACCTATCAAATAACTCCCCCCATATCTTACAGATCTTCAAACTGAAATAGTCCCCATATCTTACAGATCTTCCAGCTAAACTTATAAAAATAGTCCTAATATCTTACAGATCTCCAAGCTAAACTTATAAAAATAGTCCCCATATCTTACAGTTCTTCAAGCTAAACTTATAAAAATAGTCCCCATATCTTACAGATCTTCAAGCTAAACTTATAAAAAAAGTCCTAGTATCTTACAGATCTTCAAGCTAAACTTAAAAAATAGCCCCCATATTCTATAGATTTAATACTTATTTTTTTATAGAAGTTTCCGTGTCGTAGAGATTTCAAGCTAACCATATATCTTTAAATTTGGTAGGTTTGGTTGTAGCTTAAAAAAAATGGCAAAAGTGGTAAGTATTAAAACAACATGGATGAATTCTCGAAGTAGACTTGATGGGTTACGTCGTACATGACAACTGTAGGAAAGTAAATCGATTTAGGATGGCGTCTATTTGAGTGCATCCGTTTGCATGATGGAATTTCTGGGAGAGATTTGTAAATTGCTGTCTAAAGAGTTTGAAAGACAGGTAAATCTGAATTTCTAATAGAATAGTTTCAACTCATTCGACCCTACACTTTTAAACTAGACTTACCCAGTCATTGATTTGGTAAGGTTCAATTGTGACTTTAGGGATGAGTGGGTTAATGTTAATGGGGCAAATGGACGATGGGGTATGACAATGCTATGGAAATATAAGCAGTTAGAACTAATATAGAACAGGTACGATACGGGAACTAATGGATAAGTCTACGGGATTTATGTATATTTATAGGACAATCTGAATAGGACGACTAGTATTTTGTAGGACAATAGGATTTTTACTATTGTTATTGATGGGATGGGATGGGCATGACTAGATTATCTAGGTTATGATGTAACTATAACTGTGACTGATTTAAGTGTCGTTATGTGATATTTATAGATTCTGTCATTATATATATATAGATATTGAATTGTCAGAAAAAAAACAAATAAAAAAATACAAATGGCGAAATAAATTCAATGGCCTTACCTGGTTGTTGTCTTATTTCTTACTTGCAATATGAACAACTGTTTGACGAGCACATTATAAATGATTTTGGTGGAATACTTACAGAGCAAGACTTTTTTCCGTCTTTGACACGATTTCTGATCATAGACAATGTTGTTGAGCATGGCCCAGGATCATGATATCACAATGCGAAATGAATATTATTTTCAGTGTGAAATAAATGTTTTATCGCATCAACTTCCAAGATAACGCCACACGCGACATTTAAATAACTCAATAACTCGTTTTAAAAATATTTTATTACAAATACAAATATATCTTAACATGTTTTGGAACCAAAATCATTACAATGACTGAGAGTATCGACCTCGCATGTTATGGTAAGTAAACTGCCTACACGTTGTTAAAGTATTTCGCAATTACAAAATTTTCTCTCCGAAAGAAAAGACAAAAAACATGGACATTTATCGAGTGTTGAACTACTGCAGAAAATGAGATGACATTCCATAGAAAATGAGATGGCCCTTCACAGAAAATGAGATGGCCTTCCACAGAAAATGAGATGGCCATTCACAGAAAATCTCACAACACATATATGATACTAACGTTTATACACCTTTACACAGGCAAGCAATTATAAACAGTATTTCATTCTAGCATTTGTTCAATGGAGTAATTTTCAAGAGAGAAACAAATGAAAGGCCTGGGCTAACGCGAAAACAACAGCCAGTAGTTCTACAGGTCTTCATTAGACCTGATCTCTGCTGGTGTCAACTCGTACTTCTCTGGGATGCCGACCACTCCACAGTCTTCAATGAAGACGGTTTTCTTGGATGTGGCGCTGTTCTTCTTTAGTTCGAGATTAGACACTTTCCTGACCACGTCCTTGAGAAATAAAAGGCGAAAAGGGTTTAAAATCGACAATAACACATACCAAAGACAGAATTGGAAATTATGTAACGAAAAAAACCCATCAGTATGTGGTCAGACACCAAATAAATAGGAATTACGAATTACGATATGAACACCAGTAGAAAAATACAATTTTGGAAACCAGGTATTTTGTAAAGTAAGTGTTTCCTCATAACATGAGTCACCTTCACTTAAGAATGAATATCTCCGGTAGAAACCTCTGATTAGGTATTTATTGGTTAACAGTCCGTCTCTATCTACACGCTCTGGCACCAGAGTGAAATATATTGCACACACAAACAAAAAATACAACTTCTTTATTGCCATGATATAATGTAGTATTCAATTATTCATATTATGCTTAGGTCACAGATTATAATCGACAGTCAAAAAATAAAATAGATGTAATAAAATAAAAACAAGTTGACTGGTTAAAAAGCCATTTTTTTCTACGATCACTTGAAATTAATAACAAGGAACTAAATTAGTGTTTTCAGTACTATGATTAATAAAGGGAAGACTCGCTTTTGAGGAATGATAGCAACGACCTAAAGATGAGATGCTGGACCCAAATTTCTTACTATTAACCCTTGGTTAACGATGCCGAGGAACAAGTATTTGAATTACAAAAATAACAATTTACTCACCATGCCCCTGACGACCTTTCCGAAGACCACATGCTTGCCGTCCAACCACCTGGCCCTATTAACGACGATGAAGAACTGAGAGCTATTTGAGTCGGTTCCAGTGTTAGCCATGGAAACATAGCCTGCCGCCTGGTGGCTCAAGTCAAAGTTCTCGTCCACGAACATGGAGCCGTATATACTCTCACCTACAAAAAAATCAAAATGTCATCAAACTTGATCTTTATTCCATTCCTGGACCGTTTTTTTTTTTTCAATACTTGTTTTAAAAGATAAAACCTACATATTCACATTAACTCGATAGTAAGCCCTATTCCGTCTTTGCGTATTGCAGAGTTATCTTCTCTTGTGAGCAGGTCTTGATTGTTACGTCATTGGGTTGTGAGAGTAACGTGATCAATTTTTGAGAAAACGACGTGATTTTTTCACACAAACCAATGACGTAACAATCAATACCTGATCACAAGAGAAGATAACTCTGCAATACGCAAAGACGGAATTATCGTATATTAAGTATTTAATACCCTTATTCCAGATTACTGTTTTCTTAAAGAATAAAAATAATCTAAATATAATTTTCCTTTTACAGTGTGTATATGTACAAGACAACACTGTTCGAAGTCGCATCACAATACAATTTTAATCGGCACCACTTTTAAAGTGAAACAATTCCAATTTCTGATGCAATAAAATGTGATAAAATAAGGAAACAAATAATCATGAGGTATTCCGTCTTTGCGTATAGCAGAGTTATCTTCTCTTGTGAGCAGGCATTGATTGTTACGTCATTGGTTTGTGTGAGAAAATTACGTCATTTTCTCAAACAAATGACGTAACAATCAATACCTGCTCACAAGAGAAGATAACTCTGCAATACGCAAAGACGGGTTACTGATACCGAGGCTCCTATATAGTTGGGGCTATTGTCCGCGAATTGGACAGTGAAAAGGCCAAAATCAATAGCTGTCTAATCCTCGTTACTTCGGGGGTTACATTCACTAACTGTCTCTGCATCCCTTGCATATATCATAGCAAATTGAAGGCAAACAGCTAGCTATTTGATTGTTCTCTGTCAATTTTATCGTTACGCGGGTGCGAGATTTTTTTGATGTGCACCCAAGAATCAAACTAGTCTTCTTGTCTCAACCACATGGTGGCTCACTCTGAGTCTTAGCTTTTGTTCATAATATATATTAAAGGGTAGTGGAGAGAAAGTCAGTAAGCGTAACCCCTGGGTTGTCGAGGATAATGCTGCCCCCATTGGGACATACGTTTTCTTAACTGCAATTTTTCATTGCCTTTCATATCCATGTTATGTCTGTGCATCAAAAGATCAGACTAGTGTTTTTGTCTCATCCGCAAGGTGGCTTACTCTGAGCCTTAGGGTTTTTCGTTAAATAATCAAGGGGAGCGGAGAGAAAGAAAGTGTGCGTAACCCCTGGATTGTCGAGGATGATGCTCCAATAGGGACATATGTACTTTTATCTCATCTTTTCAATTCCTTTCATATCCATATTATTTCTGAGAACATCCATCGCCATGCAAAGTATATGTGCTCTGATAACTTCATATGAAGTAAATGAAAAGCATTCAATCAATGACTGTGTACCTCCAGTGCCATCCCCGTTGACGACGTCCCCCATCTGTATAACAAAGTCTTGAACGATCCTGTGGATGGGAGTATCCTTGTAGTGGAGTTGTTTACGCTGAAAAGGTAAATAAAACAATTCGTATTCATCCAATAAGTTTTGTTTTGAATAGATGGTCAACTCCAACTTCTATAGCCCGAGTTTCCACTGGCCCGACCAGATCTGTCAATATCATAATGTCTCAGTCTGATGTAAGGGCCAGATGGAACTCGGGCTAAGAGTTCTGTAGTTTTAGATCCGTCCTTTTGATTTGTTCGAAATACTGTTCAGAGTTATTTGATTTTTCTTTTTTAGCCAACTGTTCATAAAGATGATAATCGTACAGGAGTGCGATTTAAATACATACTATATTTGGACGTTTAACTCCTTTAGCGAGGCTCAGGAAGTTTAGTGTTGTCATCGGAACGACCTCACCAAACAGGGCGATAACAAATCTCCCATGGTAATCCTCTCCATCTTCATAGTCCTTGATCAACACGTCAAACCACACCTCCTCTGTGACGACATGTGGTACCTAGGAACATAACACAGAGTCAATGCAATGAGTCAACGCCCATCATATCCCAAAGGTCAGTATCATTTAAATACCAGGAGTTGATGTCATTCGATACATGGAATAATCCGTCCATGATTTAATGTGGTTTTAATATCATTTCAGTAAATTTATCGTATAAATAAATGTACAATACGATAAGACAATAGGCAAAGTCTGTTTAAATTTTCTAGAGAGAAATGGTTTTCAAAGACATTCACATACCATGTAACGAATAGAGTGGCTAGACTATTTTGGTTTATGCACTTGTAACTGCCATGTCATGCACTATGATATCATACATGGTGATGTCATATGCCATCTAGGTAATTAACAGCCCCTAAGATTAATTTATAAAATCGGTAGAGTGCTTTATTAAAAAAAAATACATCAGAAATACGAAGAAAGATTAATAAATTTATCAATTTAGTGTGTCAACGCAGAGAGCTAAAATAAATAGGTTTTGCTGCACCATATGGCCATCAAAATCTATATTTAAATTGTTCCGAAAAGTACGTAAAAGTGGGATAAGTGAAGGTGCATATCCCCCCCCCCACCCCCCC